AGACATTGCACTCCGTAGGCATGGCCTGGAAGACTCAAGATTGCAAAAAGCTGGGAAAAGATTCCCCTTCAAAGCTCTGGCCTGTTTTTAATTTGGAGCGCTGTGTATCGCTCTGTGACCCTTAACAGATTGTTTCAAGACACTTCTGCAATCTTTTAATGCAAGAGTTCTGTGAAGATAAAGCTTTTCTTGTCCCAGTTCTATATCTGTGGGGCACAATTTAATGCCAGTCTACTCCTAAGGAACCCATTAATCTCGATGGCAATGCCTCCTTGGTAGAACTGCCTATCTTTCCAGCTAGACCAGGAAAGTTGATTTGATAACTTGCTAATTGGAACAGGAGGCTAAAGCATATAAGGAACGGTTGCTGGAATTGGATATGTCTCATTTAACGAAGAGAAGGACGAGGGGGGACATGATAGCAGTGTTCCAATATCTCAGGGGCTGCCACAGAGAAGAGGGAGTCAAGCTATTCTCCAAAGGACCTGAAGGCAGGACAAGAAGCAACGGGTGGAAACTAATCAAGGAGAGAAGCAACCTGGAACTAAGGAGAAATTTCCTGACAGTTAGAACAATTAACCAGTGGAACAACCTGCCTCCAGAAGCTGTGAATGCTCCAACACTGGAAGTTTTTAAGAAGAGACTGGACGGCCATTTGTCCGAAATGGTAATAGGGTTTTCTGCCTGAGCAGGGGGTTGGACCAGATGACCTCCAAGGTCCCTTCCAACTTTATTATTATTATTATTATTATTATTATTATTATTATTATTATTATTATTATTATTATTATTATTATTATTATTATTATTATTATTATTATTATTATTATTATTATTGAATTTCGATGGCTTTAGACTTGGAACTTATAAGATCTTAAAGTGTGCTAAGTCACTCCTGCTATCATCATCATCATCATCATCATCATCATCATCATCATCATCATCACAATCTCATCATCATCATCATCATCATCATCATCATCATCATCATCAAGAATCTTGGAAGTCTTCCAGTCTTGCACAAGCAGGAGGCTCTATACCATTTCAGGCAGATGGCTGTCCATCCCTTCTTAAAAGCCTCCAGTGATGGAGCACCTACAACCTCTGGTTGTTCCGCTGGTTAATTGTTCTAACTGTCAGGAAGTTTCTCCTTAGTTCTAGGTTGCTTCTCTCCTTGATTAGTTTCCATCCGTTGCTTCTTGTCCTGCCTTCAGGCGCTTTGGAGAACAGCTTGACCCCCCTTCTTCTTTGTGGCAGCACCTTAAATACTGCATTGGACCACCGCTATCGCATGCTATATCTGAGATATATTTATTTATGCAGAGTTTCTAGGCTAGTATTTCTCAATCTTGATGACTTTAAAATGTGTCGACTTCCAGAATTCTCCAGATCCACCAACCGGGATGTGGTTTTTCTCCTTGGCAGTTCCTTGATTACAACTGTTTCCTGCCTGTTTGTTTGTCTGGTGTTAATCCCTGCTTACCTGGGTATAGGCTGCCGGAGAGGATGTGTTTATAAAGCTATACTGAGTAGAGTAGAGAGAGCTGTTTAACCCTAGATCAATCTTTCTCAAACTTGGCAACCTTAAGATGTGCTGACCTCAGCTCCCAGAATGCCTCAGCTAGACTGACTGAGGAATTCTGGGAATTGAAGTCCACACATCTCAACTCTCCCGAGTTTCAGAAACAATGATCTAGAGTAACTCAAAATCAAAAATGAGTTTGGCGGCATCTTTTAAGACAGCGGGCCCCAACCTTTTGGACATTAGGGACTGGTTCCATGGAGAGACGTTTTTCTGTGGACTGAAGGGGAACATGGTTTCATGTGCTGCCTGCATCCAGCAAATGGGGCTTTGCTTGTTTGAACGGCCCACTTTCTGACATGCCACGGACTGCTGCAGCTTCATGGACTGGGCGGTTGCCCTGTTTTAAGACAATACAGTTCTGCTTGCCAGTAAGCATGAAGACCTTCAACTCCTCATCAACAGAGTCACAGAAATATCTGGAAAATACGGCTTGAAGCTTAACACCTCAAAAACCAAGATCATGGTCGTCAGCAAACAACCCGTTAATTTACCACCAATAAATTCAGAAGGAATACCACTAGAAAAAGTTGAAAGGATCACACACCTCAGTTCCAATTTACATGAAAGCTGGGACATGACCGTTGAAGTAAAGACAAGGATAGAAAAAGCCCGAACAGCATTCTTCAGAACGAAAAAGGTCTTCTGCAGTCACGACATAAGCCTAAGATTGAAAACCAGGCTTGTCAGATGCTATATTTTTTTCTATCCTGCTCTATGGAGTAGAGAGTTGGTCTCTGACAGAAGGCCACCTGAAGAGACTAGAAGTATTTGAAATGTGGATTTACAGGCGGCTGTTACGCATAAGCTGGGTTGACAAGATCAGAAATGAGGAGGGGATAAGCCACCTGGGAAAGCCGAGGGAAATCATCAAAACAATTAAAAAACGAAAATTAGAATATTTCGGACACGTGATGCGACACCCAGAAAACTACGGCATGCTCCATTTAATCCTCCAGGGAAAGATTGAAGGCAAACGAGGTCCAGGCAGAAGAAGAACATCGTGGCTTCAAAATCTAAGGGACAGGTTTGGACAAAACTCAGCAGCACTTTTTCGTGCGGCTGCTGATAAAAACAGGATCGCCAACATGATCGCCAACGTCCGATAACGGATATGGCAGAAGAAGAAGAAGAAGAAGAAGAAAAAGAAGAAGAAGAAGAAGAAGAAGAAGAAGAAGAAAGAAGAAGAAGAAGAAGAAGAAGAAGAAGAAGAAGAAGAAGAAGAAGAAGAAGAAGAAGAAGAAGAAGAAGAAGAAGAAGAAGAAGAAGAAGAAGAAAAAACTTAAAAAAAATTTAATCATGATCTTTCCACCTTAAAACAACCCCTTTTGAGTCTGTCTGCTGGCTGGCTCACAATCTGAGTCTTAGATTCTCATGATGCAATGCAGGAAAAGTTGGTGGGGCCCCAGGGTTGCTAGGAAATCGTAGTGTTTTCGAGTTTGGGTGAAACCGTGAAATCATGAGAGCCACGTTGCAAACGCTCGGGCCAAACTGTGATACAGTACGAAGTGCTATGAAGGGCGTGTGTATGCACGTGTGTGATTGTGACATTGACCCAAATGTCATTTCAGCAGAAGGCTGGGAGATTTCAACCCTCCCTATATAGGCTGAATTGAAATGGCGTCTATAGAATATATCCTTAAATTCCAAAATAGCAGTAGAGTTTCTCCCAGGAACTTTTTAAGGCAGCTATCTGTCCTGCTTATGTACCTGTGTGCCATCTTTCCACCTGCTCTGTTCCCTGCCTTTGCATTCCAGTACGACAAGGGTTAAATTGGTTAGAGATGCTTTTAACTGCTGCAGAATTGGACCACAGTGCTTGTAATTTTCACGTGGAAAGATTGGGCTCCTGCATTGCCTGCCAAAAACTTTTATTTGGAGGGGTTAAAAAAAAAATTGCAGCTGGTCTCGTAACTTTGCAAAAACATTTAGCTCAGATGCAGAATGAAGAACAGACCACCCCACCTGATCCTGGCATGTTGTTTTTTTTTTCTTCCCAGTCTTTTTTTTTATTTTTAAATTAAAGAGTGATGTAGCAGGCAAAAGTTATGCAAGCTTGTAATTATCGTATGTTTCCTCTCCCAAATGGCTTAAAAGATATACAGACATTCACCCTGGTGATTAGAATTTCTGCGTGATTTCTTAATTCCAGGAATTCTTCTAATTGTTTTCATCCCTAGTAGACATTTAATATGATTTGGATCGCTACCACGAGAATATGTTACCCGGAGTTTTTTATTGCTAATCTTCTGCTATAATCTTCTTCGGTCTGAGTCTTCACAGAGATATGGACCTCTGTTGAGTCTAATTTCTAGGCTGCCAGGAGGGTTGTAGAAGAATTATTATAGTTGGACGTACAGCCAGAGGTTCAGTCTGGATTTGGCATTTTTGTCCACCTATCAAATCCTTCCCAAGGGTCTGGCATAGGCAGAGATTGTTGGAAGGAAGGAAGGAGGAGAAGGAGGGATGGGAATGAGAAGAAGGAAGGTAGGAAGGAAAAGGAAAGGAAGGAAGGAAAAGGGAAGGAAGGAAGGAAGGAAGGAAGGAAGGAAGGAAGGAAGGAAGGAGAAAAGGAAGGAGGGAGGGGAATGAGAAGAAGGAACAAAAGGAAGGAAGGAAGGGAAAGGAAAGATGGATAGGAATGAGAAGAAGGAAGGAAGAAAAGGAAAGGAAGGAGGGATATGAATGAGAAGAAGGAAGGAAGGAAGGACGGAAGAAAAGGAAAGAGGGATAGGAATGAGAAGAAGGAAGGAAGGAAAAGGGAAGGAAGGAACAAAAAGGGAAGGAAAGAAAGAAGGAAGGAGAAAAGGAGGAGGGAGGAAGGAAGGAAGGAAGGAAGGAAGGAAGGAAGGAAGGAAGGAAGGGAAAGGAAAGATGGATAGGAATGAGAAGAAGGAAGGAAGAAAAGGAAAGGAAGGAGGGATAGGAATGAGAAGAAGGAAGGAAAGAAGGACGGAAGAAAAGGAAAGAGGGATAGGAATGAGAAGAAGGAAGGAAGGGAAAGGGAAGGAAGGATAGAATAAAAAGGGAAGGAAAGAAAGAAGGAAGGAGAAAAGGAGGATGAAGGAAGGAAGGAAGGAAGGAAAGAAAGAAGAGCAATGAGAGGGTGAGAAGGAAGGAGGGAGGGAAAGTAGGAAGGAAGGATTGCCACAATAATTCAGCAAAAGAAATATCAGCTGACTACATCAAAGACTTCAAATCCAGATTTAAAAGGCTGAAATACAGAGTGGCCTCTGCCTAGAACAGTCAAGCTCTTGATGTGTTTTCTCCCACCTTCATTTTCTCCCAATCTGAAGTTTATCTCATCCCGTGTTTGCAAAGACGTGGACCTCCTTTGGGAGTGCAAGCGTACAAACCAACACAAAGAGCATTTCTCTCCCCCTTCCCATGTCATTGACCCATCTCTCCTCCTTTCTAGACGCCCCTCCAGTACAGTCAAGCCACAAACCGAAGTAATCAAGTGAGACTCTATTGTGCCTTTCTGGATTACAGGTGAGTGTCATCCTGGTATAAAACATATTTGTGGCCACGTGCCCCCAGCCGTGTCACCTGCTCACCCTCCCTGCCTGCTGGTTTTATAGGAAGAAGACTCCAAATAATGAAATCATGATTCTTCTCGGCAGCAAAGCTAAAACAGAGGACTAGGTCATTATTAACTCAAGTCTGGTGGGAGCAGTATTTTTTTGTATTGAAAAAAAAAACCCCTCATATCTGGCAAAAAAAAAAAAAGGGAAAACCACTGGAATCCTTTTGTGATGGAGCCCAACCGTATGGCATTTTTGGGACTGGCACCATCCCTTAAGTTCTCATCCTTTGGTTGAATCTTACGAAGCCCAATATTTGTGGCTGGAGAGACAAGTTTGAGCTCCTGATTGCCAAACCAGAGGACATTATTTTTATTTGATGGGTAGCTTGGAGGAACGTTCCCACCCTTGGAAGATGGGGCTGGGATGACCTGCGGATACCTGGTGATGGGTATCCCAAAGATGCTTTTTCATGAAGCAACTGGACTTTCTTGTTTTTCTTTGAAGATGTTTCGCTTCTCAGCCCAGAAGCTTCTTTGGCTCTGACTGGATGATGGGGAATGGAAGGATTTATACTCCTTGCAGACTGCTGGTCATTTGCGTTCTTTTAGCGAGTCGTTGATGTCACTTGGAGGTTTATCTGTATCCTCAGGGTCACCTGAGTGGTGCAAATGGGTGTGGAGCCTTCTTGGAACTGTTGAAAGAACTGTGTTGTAGACTGAAGATAGATGATGTCGTATCCCTCCCCCTCTGTTGAGAGAGACATTATCTATCTCCAGTCTACAACACTGTACTTTCAACAGTTCCAAGAAGGCTCCACACCCATTTTCACTACTCAGGTGACCCTGATGACACAGATAAATCTCCAGGTGGCATCAACGACTCGCTAAAAGAATGCAAATGACCAGCAGTCTGCAAGGAGTATAAATCCTTCCATTCCCCAGTCAGAGTTGAAGAAGCTTCTTGGATGAGAAGTGAAACATCTTCAAAGAAAAACAAGAAAGTCCAGTTGCCTCTTGAAAAAGCATCTTTGAGACAAGCATGACCTGGATGACAGAGAATCTCCATAGGCATTTGGTGACGGCTAGTGCAATGTTTAAGAGACGAGGATGGGAATCAGAAAATCCCAGGTTTTGGATCTCACTTCTCATCTCAATAGTCTAAGTGTTCTTCAGCTTTGCTGTTTGGTCTTCTCCAGAGCTTTGTAAACCCAGGTGCATCTGAACGCAAACTCAACCTGGACAATTTAGAACCTGAGTTTTTATCTTTGTTTCCAGCACTATTCCCATTATAACGCCCAGGAAATGGTGTTCTTTTTCTCTTTTCAGAAAATTATGGAATACGGTTGGTTGAGTGAGGTTTCTGATTGAGCCAATATAGGAAGCAATCAGAGGCATGATGTGTAGTTTTATGGAGCCCTCTCTGCCTTCTCCTTGCCCCACTCCATAATTCATTACTGTTTCACATTATTCATTGTGGTTTCACTTCTTTACAAGCTTTCAGCCTAAAAACATTGTTAAATAAATAATCTGGGCACAAAAAAAGGACAGTTGGGTACCTTGGTACTGATCATTAACGATGAGTACCAAACAATTTCCACCCCAAAAGAAATAATGTAGTGAGTCACACAAAGCAGCCGACACCAACAATTCTACCTTGTGTGCTGAATACCAAACAAACGAGTACCAGGGAAAAATGTTCACATCAAAATGCGCTGAGTATCAGATTCGATGAGTTTCAAAGCTGTTGAGTACCACTGTAGGTCCATCTTTTGCAGAAACGGAAGCGGTGTTTGGTCCAACAAAGGCTGTGTGCGTGATGGGGGTGATCTCAATTATTCCACCTGCTTGTGCAACCATCTCACCAACTTCGCCATTTTGATGCAAGTGGTGCCACTAACGGTAAGCCAAGCCAAAATATTCATAACTGTGGTTTGTAGGCAAAATGATAGACCTGGATCATTTAAACTTTCTTTTTTTAAAAAAAAAATAAATCTAGAATAGGGGTCTTCAAACTTGGCCCTTTTATGACTTGTGGACTTCAACTCCCAGAATTCCTCAGCCAGCATGCCTGACTGAGGAATTCTGAGAGTTGAAGTCCACAAGTCATAAAAGGGCCAAGTTGGAAGATCCCTGATCTAGAATCTTGGTAGGTTACCAATGGGCTTAGTTTCATATCAAGACTTAGACGTTGAGGTCTTCCTAACCAATGGTGGCTAGTCATATGGTCTTGTAGAGGTGGAACTGCTGGATGACCTTCGGCCAACAAAGTTTACGGTGGACCCCCCAAACTAGAACTTCTTGGTCTTGAAATTCAAGCTAACAAATGCTCCAACATAGGAGATCCAAATAGATTGTTTCCTAAGGAATATCTTGGCAGAAGTTCCTGGTCACGCCATCACAACACAAGTGCCACCTCTTTTATCTGTGCACGTGATGTTATGATGCATGTCGAAATTAGTAGTAATGGAACTAGGCTACTTTCCTTTCATCTTTCTGTCCCTCTGGACCGTCCATTTTTAAGCCACCTCAAAGAAAAACGATGCGATTCCTCCCTGCTGTTCTATTTCCGTTTGGTTATCTCGGACATCGTCTTCATACGTGGCGTTTTAATGTCCTTATCGATGGTTGAAATTCAGCTGGGCTCTTCAGACTCCTTTCATGAAGTCTGAAGGACACAGAAAAGGACACAGTTTCACAGTAACTTGGCCAAACAGCAGGAGAACCACAGGAACATTGGATCAAGTTCCATGGGATCTCAGAGACCTCTGTTAAAATCTCAACCCACATGGCAGCCTTGCTGTTCCCGCTCCATGCCGGCTGGTTCGACTCTTGCCTTTTTTTTTGGCAAGGGACCTAATTAACCGGGCTGGATCCAAGGATCAGATGGATGACACAAACCTTGGCACGGTCACACGTCCGCCTTGTATCATCTAAGCAAATGGGAATTCATCTCCGCATCTTGTTTGCCAAGGACCTCGGTGCCGATTGGCTGGGCTAAGAAGAAGACAATTATACAATTACGATTAACTGGAAAAAGCTGCAGACGCTTACAAATGGTTTTGCATTCAAATATTCGCCTTGAGTATGTGTTTCCTCTGCACAGAGGGTTCTAAATCCAGTGAGACCCCCTTGCCAATATTTGCACAGTTCCTCAAATTTGTTTTATTCGCAAAGATTCATTGTCCCCCTTTTTCTGCTTCCCCCGCCCCCAAAACCCAAAGCTCACCTGCTTTTTCCCCCTCCTAAACAAGTGGCTGGTTCATTTCATAGGCATTGATTTACTTTACAGGCAGGATAAATTTATCTTCCACTTTCTGGAATTTTTCACTGTTGGGGAGAAAATATATTTGCGCCAGATAGGAGATTCTGCACTGCGCGCCTGTAATTCTATACATGCCAATTTGATAAACACGGAGCCTGCCAATCACATAGCCAAAGAAATTTTGACTACTCCGTGCAGTTATTCAGAACATTTCAGTTCTTTGCTCCCTCCCTCATTTTCCAAAAAGGAATTAAAAAAATGAAACCAATTTCCGTTGCTTTAAAGTGATTTCCACTTTGAAAATTTTTTAAAAGGCCAACTCAACTTCAAAAAATCAGGGTTCAGCATGAAGGCTATCCCAGAGAGGCAGGTATTAGGTTTTCTAAGGACCCCTAATTGTGTGTGATAAAGATTTATACACTTTATATAAGGAAAACATGAAATAAACTTCCCATTCTGGCAAAACGTCTATTTGGCCAGAGTTGCAATAAATTTTGGGTTAGGACCGTAGTTTATTTATTTTTTTCCCCCTTAGTTTCTTGGCAGAATTCATTTGGCTTTTGTTTGTTTCCCGTTTAATGGATTAAGTTTATTCTAGGGTTTACCCAACCATTTTATCATGCAGTTTGCTGAGGGAAAAAAAAACCAGGTACATATGGTGCCAGCAAACTTTGGCATTTATAACTAGTGGAATTCAACAACAAGATTAATAGGAGATTTGGGGACGAAAAAAAAGTGAGGGGAAAAGAGACTCAAAGATTTTAGAACTGGAAGATTTCCAATCTCTGCTTTATAATTGTCTATATTAACTCCAATGGCTCTAATGTCTTCTGCATCCGGAATAGAATTAGAATTAGAAGAATAGAATAGAATAGAATAGAATAGAATAGAATAGAATAGAATAGAATAGAATAGAATAGAATAGAATAGAATATGGAATGGAATGGAATGGAATGGAATGGAATGGAATGGAATGGAATGGAATAGAATAGAATAGAATAGAATAGAATAGAATAGAATAATAGAGCTGGAAGGGACCTTGGAGGTCTTCTAGTCCAGCCCCCTGCTCAAGCAGGAGAACCTATACCATCTCAGACAAGTGACTGTCCAGCCTCTTCTTAAAAACCTCCAGTGATGGAGCGCCCACAATTTCTGTCCCACTGGTTAATTGTCCTCACTGTTAGGAAGTTTCTCCTTAATTCCAGGTTGCTTCTCTCCTTGATTAGTTTCCATCCATTGTTTCTCGTCCTGCCCTCTGGGGCTCTGGTGAATAACATGACCCCCTCTGCCCTGTGGCAGCCCCTCAGATCCTGGAACACTGCTATCATGTCTCCCCTATTTCTTCTTTTCTTTAGACTAGCCAAATCCAAGTCCTGCGGCCGTTCTTCGTATGTTTTAGTCTCCAGGCCTTTGGTCAACTTAGTTGCTCTTCTCTGAATTTTTTTCCAAACTCTCAACATCTGTTTTGTGATATGGTGACCCAAATTGCCCGCAGTATTCCAGGTGTGGTCTTGACTAGGGTTTTATAAAGCGGTACTAATAATTCGTGTGATCTTGATTCGATGCCTCTGTTTATACAGCCGAGGATTGTATTAGCTTTTTTGGCTGCTGCTGCACAGTGCTGGCTCATAGTCAAGTGATCGTCCACTAGGACCCCAAGGTCCCTCTCGCAGTTGCTGTTTTTAAAGGAACAATAAGACCATCTTCTCCCAAGGCTGCATCACATCTTAAATGATGCTAAGTGCCCTGGCCAAAACTCAGATGCATTCTTCCAACACTTGTGCGGTACTTAGTGCTCTCCGAGCCTGGTTCCTTTCTTGCAGACATTCCATCATCCAACTAGGTAACATCTTCAGGGCTTCAAGCAGACCCACCTCCCTTCTAGTGCTGATCATAGAATCATGGGGCTGGAAGGGACCTTGGAGGTCTTGTAGTCTGACCTTCTGCCCAAGGCAAGAGTCCTCATATCATTTCGAACAAATGGTTGTCCAAATCTTTTCTTGAAAGCCTCCAGTGATGGAGCACCTACGACTCCAGGAGGCAAGCTGTTCCATTGCTTAATTTTTCTTATTGTCAGGAAATTCCTCCTTTGTTTCATCTCCCTCTGACAAACATCCACCCATGGCTTCTTGTTCTGCCCTCAGGTGCTTTGGAGAATACATTGATCCCCTCTTACCTGCGACAGCCCTTTGAGTATTGCAGGGGTGTCAAACTCAATTTCACTGAGGGCCGCATCAACATTGCGGTTGCCCTCGGGGTGTGTGTGGCCAGGGTGTGTGTGGCCTACTGGGTGGGTGTGGATGGAGTGGGTGTGGCCTACTGGGTGGGTGTGGCCAGCTCTACATCATTCGGGTCAAGGGGGCTTGTGGGGGCCTGGGCAAGAGTGGGACAGATCTGAGGGTCTCTGGCAGAAGGGGGTGGGACCAGGGACAAGTGCCAAGGCATGGTCCACTGGAGGAGACTCACTGCCTGCTGAAACCCCTCCACCGGAGCCCATCAAGCCGGATATTTGAAGTAGGCGAGGGCCATTTTCTGGCCACTTCCAGGCGATGGTCCATTTCTTCATTCCTCACAAAGGGTGACACCTCCCCAGCATGCACCCAGAGGGTGGGGCCGACGCGGCAGGGGCCGGTCCCTCGCTGTTTCAAGATGGCCTTGTGGAGCTAAGACTGAATGAGTTTCAGCATAGATGGCCACCACAAAATTGTACATTGGCTCCCGGCCGACCTGGGCCAGGGCCAAGGCAGCGGGGGCCGTTCCCTCACTGTTTCCAGGATGGCTTCGCGGGCCACATGAAACCACTTCGCGGGCCGCATTTGGCCCCCAGGCCTTGTGTTTGACATGTCTGAAGTATTGGAAGACAGCTATCATATCGCTAAACCTTCTCTTCATTAGGCCAAATATGCCTAGTTCCCTTAACCGTTCATCATACAATATTGGTGATACCTAGTTGAGTAATGCGACATCTGCAAGAAAACAACCAAGTTATCAAAGACACCCCCCCACCAGTTCAATCCTGAGCTACAAATATCCAGGATAAGCAGCGCATGCATTTTCATCCAGATCTGAATTATTCTGCATATTAAACTCCTTGATAAAATAACTTCTGGGGATGCTGATTTTGCAAGCTTAGCACATCCCCACTAACATAATTTAATTACTCGTTTATGTAATACATAAATTAATTTGGACAGAAACTTTCTTCGGGATACCTCCATAAAGAGCAGACGTAATAAATAAATAATCTTAATCGTGCCTTCGGTGGATATTGACTTATTTACAGAGGCAGCCAATGACTGTATTTCAAGGCAGAGATTTCAACAGGGAGTCCAAAGAAAGCATATGGAAGATTTTAGCGTCTCTGCTTCGCGTTGGCCACAGAGCAAAATCCCATGGAATGGCAGTTCTTATTTTGGAAGGCTAAATATATCGATGTTGGAGGATTCTGTGGCCATATGGTGTTCAGATTTCATACCGGCATTGGCCCTATTAGGCTCGTGATAAATTGGCATGGGGTGAGACTTGAGTGGCTTCTATCTTGATTGTTTGGTGATGGTATCTCCATCACCAACCTGTCTTCCAAAAAATGCTTTCAATCGGAATAGAGTTGGAAGGGAACTCAGTGATCTTCTAGTCCAGCTTCCTGCTCAAGCCGGAGACTCTATACCATTTCAGACAAGTGGCTGTCCAGTCTTTTCTTAAAAACCTCCAGTGTTGGAGCATTCACAGCTTCAGGAGGCAGGTTGTTCCACTGGTTAATTGTTTTAACTGTCAGGAAATTTCTCCTTAGTTCCAGGTTGCTTCTCTCCTTGATTAAGTTCCATCCGTTGCTTCTTGTCCTGCCTTCAGGCGCTTTGGAGAATAGCTTGACTCCCTCTTCTTTGGGGCAGCCCCTGAGATACTGGAACACTGCTATCCTGTCCCCCCTCATCCAATTCCAGCAACCGTTCCTTATATGTTTTAGCCTCCAGTCCCCTAATCATCTTTGTTGCTCTTCTCTGTACTCTTTCTAGAGTCTCAACATCTTTTTTACATCACGGTGACCAAAACTGGATGCCGTATTCCAAGTGTGGCCTTACCAAGGCCTTGTAAAGTGGTATTAACACTTCACGTGATCTTGATTCTGTCCCTCTGTTAATGCAGCCTAGCACTGTGTTGGCTTTTTTGGCAGCTGCAGCACACGGCTGGCTCATATTTAGGTGATTGTCCACTAAGTGTTTCATCCACTTTTTCTTTCCTTGCCTTCTGGTGCTTTGAAAAATTAGTTGACTCCCTTACAAAGGAATCCATCCCGTTTGCTCAAAGGGTTGAAGAAGTGCAGAGGTCTCTGGACCGGACCAACAATGAACTAGAGCAGGGGTAGGCAACCTTGGCCCCTTCATGACTCGTGGACTTCAATTCCCAGAATTCCTGAGCCAGCCTGGCTCAGCTTGGAAACCTCTCCCTTTCCCCTCAGCATGGCTGGCTCAGGAATTCTGGGAGTTGAAGTCCACGAGTCATAAAAGAGCCAAGGTTGCCTACCCCTGAACTAGACAATACATTTTAAATTCCCAGGGATGATGTCTTTCTCCAGTGGGTTTACAGGTTGTCCTCAACTTACAGCAATTCATTTGGCTACTGTTTGAAGTTACGACGGCACTGAAAAAAGGGACTTATGATCAGTTTCCACACTTGCAGCATCCCCCAGGTTGGTCAGGTGATCAAAATTCAGACGCTTGGCAACTGATTCATATTTATGACGGTTGAAGCGTCCTGGGCACACACAATCCCCTTTTGCGGCCTTCCGACAAACTAAATCAACGGGGGAAGCCGGATTGACTTAACAACCGTGTTACTAATTTAACAACCACAGGGATTCTCTTAGCAACGTGTGCAAAAAGGGTTGTAAACTGGTCAAAACTCGCTTAACAACCAAAATGCTGGTCATAAGTCGAGGATTACCTGCCTATTTCCCTTTTATTTCTCCTGCCGCCACCCAGTTTTTCACACAGACTCATAAATTCTGGACAAACCCTTTCCAGATACTGTCCTTCTACCTTGAACAGAGGCAATTAAACAAATCTTGAATTTCCTCCACCTTTTGCTGTCTGATATTTTATCTGGTCGGTATCATTCTGCCTTTCGATGCAAGCCTTGATTTGCAGTGTGTTTGCTAGGCAGAGCTATTTTTCCATCGGAAGGAGAAATTAGATTTTTTCGGGAGTAGAACCCTTGAACGAACAGTCAATCAGGAAAGCATCAGGGAAGGTTAAACAAAGCAGAGACAAAGACCTTGGTTTTGCGCTGCCACGAAGACCGGAGGCCACACAATGAATTTTCTGTTGGGCATCGCAGAGCAGACAAATGCATATTTATGCATTGGTACACAACAAGCGAGTCAATATTCCTGCGGTGGTCACCTGCATTTTTGAGAAACTAATTACGGAGAATAATAACCAAGCTTCTCTTCCCGAGAGAAATAACATGTGGCATAAATGCTCTCCTATTTCATCATTAATTAAAAATGACTTCAAGCAAATTTGCTTTGCTTTCAAACTCAGCTCGCCATACAGAGACCGTGCAAATTGGTTCACGAATGGGCAGAGTAAGGCAGCTTGGTAGGTTTTTGCTTCGGTAGAAGTGCATTCGTCTCTAAGATGAGTGTTACGGTTGAGCAGGGCTTGGAATTTGATCCTAAAATGGTGCTTTGAAGTGTGTGGAAGTGCAAATGTGGAGTCAGTTTGGTGTAGGGGTTGAGGTGCTGGCCTAGAAACCAGGAGACAGTGAGTTCTAGCCCTGCCTGAGGCATGAAAGACAACTGGGTGACTTTGGGACAATCACCAGGAGACGGTGAGTTCTAGTCCTGCCTTAGACATGAAAGTGGCTGGGTGATTTTGGCCAATCACCAGGAGCCAGTGAGTTCTAGTTCTGCCTGAGGCATGAAAGACAGCTGGGTGACTTTGGGCCAATCACTGGGAGACGGTGAGTTCTAGTCCTGCCTTAGACATGAAAGTGGCTGGGTGATTTTGGCCAATCACCAGGAGCCAGTGAGTTCTAGTCCTGCCTGAGGCATGAAAGACAGCTGGGTGACTTTGGGCCAATCACTGGGAGACGGTGAGTTCTAGTCCTGCCTTAGACATGAAAGTGGCTGGCTGATTTTGGCCAATCACCAGGAGCCAGTGAGTTCTAGTTCTGCCTGAAGCATGAAAGCAGGCTGGATGACATTGGGCCAGTCACCAGGAGACAGTGAGTTCTAGTCCTGCCTGACACATGAAAGACAGCTGGGTGACTTTGAGCCAATCACCAGGAGATGGTGAGTTCTAGTCCCGCCTTCGGTAAGAAACACATCCTCACCACTCTTCCGCTTTTTTTGTCTTCCAAAGAAGTTTCCAATCAAGATGAACATGAAAACACAACCTTGTAATTCTCACTAAATAAACGAGAGCCAGAAGTTCACACACAGTTGGAAGATCTGAAGGACCAACTGGGGACAGATCCTCCCAGAATAAAATCTATCTATGTGGTCACTAAGAGTCAACGTTGACTTGATGGCGCCAAACCCATCAACTCACAGACCTCTTGTAAGAACAATCCGTGGTCTAATTTACAAATCAGGAACGGTTAAGCTTTAAAAAAGCCCCAAAACAAAAACCTGTAAGGATTCTGGAAGATGTCTTCATCTCATTCAAAGTTTATTTTCCTGTTTTTGTCATAACTGTGAACTCTTGATCGCTAACAGATGGTGGAGATGTTTGCCTGTCAAATGGATTGGATTGGCTTAGTTCCTTGGACTAGTTCTTGATTTGTTTATTTTTTTTTAATCTCCAGAGAATGTCCTAATTTAAAAAAAAAAAAACATTTCACGTGTGAGTTGGATGTATCTTTTCCTTTTTTTTTTTTAATAACCCGGTTAGGAGACAGTGAAGAATCGTTAAATGCAATTTCTCGTTCTTTCTTTCTGCAGCTAACAAATGGACACAAGGTGGCATTGTCTTCTATCAGCTACGTAGGATGCTCTATTTCCATTTTCTGCTTGACTATCACGCTGGTCACGTTTGCAATTCTGTCGTGAGTAATTTTAACTTTTCTTCCCGCTGAGCCAATATCAGGCTGGAAATATAGATAGTTGGAAAAAAAAAAACTCAAAAAAAAAAAAAAAACCCTCCACAACTCCATTTGCAGGCCACTGGACTGACTGCTTCCAGGTGCTGAGAGTTTCATACAAAGGTTATTAATTCCTTAAACCTTAATTAGATGCTGCCCGTACATTAGTAACACTCAGTTGAGTTTGGTGTAAATGACTTTAATTTCTTGGAAGTGGGAAGCTTTTAAACCTAGCGGGTTATTTCCTTGTCATTTATTCTCAAGCTATTTGCAGAGGTTTGGTATTCCCCACGGTGGGTTCCCACAAAAGCCTGAAAACTACAGCTCCCAAACTTGCAGCAAAATTGAAAGACTCTGGATTTGTAGTCCTAAAGCCTCTTTAGTGAGCCTGTTGGAGAATTTCTTTGACCCCTAGATATTGAAATGAGGAAGGGACCAGCAGTGAAATGAGTAGGAGGGTCTGTGATTTGCAGAAGTAAGATAAGGATGTTATTATAGATTGTTGGGCAATACTTTAAATTTGACTGCAAAAAGGATGCTTTACTGGAGAGACAAATTAAGCACCTATGCGCAGTTCTTTATAGCAGGGGTCCCCAACCCTTAGCCCGTGGACCAGTACCGGGCCGCGGCATGGCAGCAACTGGTCCGCACAAACAAGCAAAGCCCCATCCGCGGGATGCAGGCAGCGCACAAACCCACGCACCTTCCAGTCCGTGGAAAAACCTTTCTCCACGTAACTGGTCCCTGGTGCCCAAAAGGTTGGGGACCTCTGCTTTAGAGAAACTCATCTTGTCAGGCACAGAAGACCAGGTTCACACATGAAGGACCAATTAAACTGATTCATTGCTAAAAGCCGATGCACAGGAATCTTTTCAAATAAGGATTAGAACCTGCTCAGAATTAGATAAGGGTGAACAGAATTCAAGGGAGGTTAGACTTAGTTGTGGCTATGTAGGGATTCTAGGCTGATCCCTCTCTTGACTCCACCTTCATGGTTCTGTCACCCCTACTCCCCTTTTCCCAGAATCGTCTCCTAAACACCACCAAAACGTCTTTACAAATTTAATAAATAATAATAATAATGATGATGATGATGATGATGATGATGATGATGATGATGATGATAATTATTATTGATCATCGCACAGTCAGCCAGATGTTCAGACTGGGTTTGGGATGTTTGTCTACCTATCGAGTCCTTCCCAAGGACCTTGGATAGGCAGATGTGGATGTTTGATGGTATTACAGATCTCGTCGCAGGATGGAGGCGGTTCCTAGTAAGGCCGCCTTTTGCAATTGACTAATGGTGAATTTGTCAATGCCAATGGTGTTCAAGTGGTGCTCCTATTATTATTATTATTATTATTATTATTATTATTATTATTATTATTATTTATGGAGCAGAACTAAATTGGAACCATTGCAAAACCTTATAGTTGTGAAGTCTGGTTTTGTGGTGAGGAAGACTCTGCTGTCTTCTAATGGTATGGGTCAAAGGTGCGGTGCAACTTAGCCATCCATGCCAGATGTCCTTCAAAGAGGGTGGTCCATAGACCTTTGGTGAGTAGGCAGATAAGAAGAATAATTTATAGATGTCTGGGGATTATAATGACTGGAAGATCCAACAAGATGTCTCAACCAGGCTAGCCTAACCAACAATTTCAGAGTTACGGTCAGTGGTGGGATTCAGCCGGTTCGCACCACTTGGGCAGAACCGGTAGCTAATTTTTTGTTGCCCAGGCCCAGAATGGACTTCCAGAAGTGGCATCCACACAGAGAACCGGTTGTTCACCTATCTGAATCCCACTACTGGGCATATCCCCTTGACCGTTTGGGCTTCAATCAACAAGAATTACTGGGCAACCTTAATGGAGAAACACCCTACAGTTGTGTGAAATGCAATCTGGAGATCCATCCAGGAAGCTATTTGTCTAAATTTCTGAAGTCAGTTTGGCAGACTGAACGAATAAGATGCCTCCAAACCCGCCCAGGTGATGACCCTTCAGGGGCGCAGAAACATCTCTTTAGGCTTCGATTCAGAAATACGAACGGAAGCCCACCCCTGTTGACCATTTCATCCGAACCCGATGGCATCGATTTCGCCAATGGTGTTGAATCCATGGATCAGACTGGATCCTTTCTTCAAATGACCCGGGCTATTCCAATGAGATTTTGCTTAACTCACCCAAGCGTAGCAAATACCACAGCTTACGGTCGTCCTCAGCTGGAGGGTTCTCTGAGAAATATTTGCTTAGTCTTCCAGAATGCCAATTTAACTGTGCTTTGGGGAGGCTAATAATACGTTTTTTCTTATTTCCATATATATAGCCAAATCACTTCAAGGTAGGGAATGCAACAATGAGGTATTTACGGAAGTGCCAGATTTCGAATGAATATGCAAATGGCCTTCTCAATCGATCTTGCTCACTTAATTTGAGCCTCGTTTGTATCCAGCGAGTTACTCCCGCTTACGCATCTGAAGAGGATCAAAACCCAAACATATTAACACGAAACCACTTAGGCCGATTCGCAAAAACGTGCACCGATTTAAACCCCAAAAGGTTAGGGTGATACCGATAAAGGAGAATTATTTGTAAGCTCAGGGTTGAAATGATGAGTCCTTGGTGCTTTCTGAGCCCAGAAAGCATCAAAGACCCCTCAGGGTAGGGTGAAAAAACCCCCAAAACTGAATGGGTAAAATACTCATATTCCCTCTCCTCCCTTCCCATGTTGGGCTTGCAAGGGGCGAGTGCAAATTCTAGGAATTTATTCTGGTTCCCTTATGTGGAACACAACAACCTTTCGACATTGTCATTTGGTTTTAATTAGTGTGATTAAATCCAGAGGCAGTTCGGGAAAGGAGGGGCGATGCCCCCGTGTTTTGTTTTTTTTTCAACTTTGCCGAGCATCAGGAATGTTGTGTGAGTGTGCCTGCAAGGAGGATGTGTCCATCAAAAGACTTTTAAAAAGCAGTGAAATCTAGTTAATATTGCAAAAGTTCAAGGCATGGGTGCCAAGCAGGGTGGGCCTCAGGAAAATACTACCCCAATTAAAACCTAATTTTGTAACCTTGCCTTCCTAACTGGAGGGCTAAGCCAATTAAGAGGTTAGAGAGAGAGAGAGAGAGAGAGAGAGAGAGAGACAGACAGACAGACAGACAGACAGACAGACAGAGAGAGACAGAGAGAGAGACAGAGAGAGAAAGAGACAGAGAGACAGAGAGAGAGAGACAGACAGAGACAGAGACAGAGACAGAGAGAAAGCAGAGACAGAGGGACAGAGAGAGAGACAGACACAGACACAGAGACACAGAGATAGAGAGTGAGAGTGTGTGTGAGAGAGATGTTGTGGCATCTGACTTAGAAGTGATGGGCACTTGGATATGTAGAATGGAACTCATCTTGGTGGTCCTCTCAGGTGGATGACAACAGATCCCCCATTGTTTCTCCAAAACAATGCTTCTCAATCTTGGCAACTTTAGAAAGAATAGAATAGAATATAGAATAGAGTGGAGTGGAGTGGAGTGGAGTGGAGTGGAGTGGAGTGGAGTAGAGTAGAGTAGAGTAGAGTAGAGTAGAGTAGTTGGAAGTGACCTTGGAGGTCTTCTAGTCCAACCCCCTTGCTCAGGCAGGAAACCCTATACCATTTCAGACAAATGGTTGTCCAATCTCTTCTTAAAAACTTCCAGTGTTGGAGCATTCACAATTTCTGGAGGCAAGTTGTTAAGATGGGTGGACTTTAAGATGGGTGGACTTCAACTCCCAGTACTCTACTGAAATATTTTAATTTTCAAAGCACTCCCAGAACTCCCCAACCCAATATTTTAATTTTCAGAGTACTAATGGACGTGGCTTTTTTCCCCTGCAGCTCTGTCAGTACCATCCGCAACCAGCGTTACCACATCCATGCCAATCTTTCATTTGCTGTTTTGGTGGCTCAGATCTTGCTCCTTATCAGCTTCCAGTTTGACCCTGGGACGGTGAGTGAAATGGATGTTCTTCTGAATTGGGCGTCAACTCAGCCATGGCGGAGAATAATGGAATTAACAGAGTTGGAAGGGACCTTGGAGGTCATCTAGTCCAACCCCCTGCTCAAGCAAGAAACCTTATATCACTTCAGACAAATGGCTGTCCAGTCTCTTCTTAAAAACCTCCAGCGATAGAGGACCCACAATTTATCATAATTGATCTCTGAGCTTGACAATTTGGATGCAAACATTTCGTCTCCATTCGAGGGGACATACAGTATTTAGTGTGCTTTGAATTGTGCTCGTCTGTCAGAGCACTGGTCTTTAAGTACCCTTTTTGTGTGATGTAAGTTGGTGTGGGTGTTACTTATCCAGATGTTTCTGAGTCATGGTCACATGAGCCCAATTCAAAGCCCACTGAAGATGTCCCCCCCCCAAATGGAGACAAAACGTTTGCAGCCAAATCGCCAAGCTCGGAGATCAAATCAACAGCCGAACTACCAATCCAAGCTACTTATATTCAAACACATCTCAATCATAATTTATTGTTAATTCATCCAGCTAATTATAGAACATAGAATGACAGAGTTGGTAGGGACCTTGGAGGTCTTCTAGTTCAGGGGTCTTCAAACTGGGCCCTTTTATGACTTGTGGACTTCAACTCCCAGAATTCCTCAGCCAGCATGGCTGGCTGAGGAATTCTGGGAGTTAAAGTCCACAAGTCATAAAAGGGCTACATTTGAAGACCCCTGTTCTAGTTCAACTCCCTGCTCAAGCGGGAGACCTTATACCATTCCAGACAAGTGCCTGTCCAGTCTCTTCTTGAAATCCTCCAGTGATGGAGCGTCCACAATTTCTGGTGGCAAGCCGTTCCACTGGTTTATTGTCCTCACTGTTGGGAACTTTCTCCTTAGTTCCAGATTGCTTCTCTCCTTGATTAGTTTCCATCCGTTGCTCCTTGTCCTGCCTTCAGATGTTTTGGAGAATAAACTGACTCCCCCCCTCTTCTTTGTGGCAGCCCCTCAAGTACTGGAAGACGTCGATCCTGTCACCCCTGGTTCTTCTCTTCACTTTTCACAGCACACCGCTCAGCTGAGAAATGTCTCAAGGGTTATCCAAATATTTATCTCTTCCACCCAATTTTGCCTAAACTGAACGTTCCCGCCTGACAATGCACTGTTGTCCCCCAATTCTGCACTCCTTACTCTCTTTTGAACGGCAGGCCCCGGCCTTTTAAAGCGGACCCCTCTTTATTTTTAAACAGTTTGTCACCGCTTCATTATATGTCGGCCACCGTGATGACAGGCATATAATGTCGCTGGCATTTAAATAAGCAGGTTATTCATTTCACATTTGCTCGACAATAGTCGGTGCACGGTAAACATGACAAATGTTTGTGTTTTCCCTTTGATTTGCACCAAAAAATAAAGGCAGAGATTAATCATAACGCAGCGGTTGCTGTTTAACTTGATAATTAATGCTATTAATAACCATAATGATAATCATGTGGTTTCATCGGAAATTCTCCTGGCCTTTGGTCAAACAGGGGACCCCCCCCTTTGTTTCCCTGGGAGAAAAACAGCACAGCAGAGAGGCAATACAACGCGAAGAAAAAATTGTATTTTTAATGATAATATTTCCTGGTTTTTTTCCCCTCTTGCATATGTGTGAACATTGATAAAACAGGCTCGGCTCCCACCTACAAAACGCAAAAAAAACGATTCCGTTCACTCAACGTAACATTCTATCTGGTTTCACTTTATTAGAGCCGAGTTGTCAGTTTGAAGGTTTTTCTTTTTCCGGTCCTGGGAGAGGAAAAAAAAAAAAGATAAAGTAATAATAGGCAGCAAAATTTTCTCTATTCGTCACTTTGAGAGGATGGCGTATAGAGGCTGCCATTTTTTTCCCCTGCACTGCTCAGAAATTATTATGATGATGATGATGGGGTGCTGTTGTGCATTCTGCCGGTTAAGAAAAAAGGCAAGTTAGAAATAAATGGGTTGTACTCAGTGACTTAGTAATTCACGTTTCTGTCCTCCAGCCTTACATTTGTTTTGCCCCGTTTCGATGGTTAGTTTGGAAGTGTTTTGCAAAAAAAATAAATAAATCTGTGTGAGGTTGATCTCAGTTGCCTTCAGCTTAGAATGTACAATTTTATTGCAATTTTATGCAATTTTAGGCATCCATCCATCCATCCTTTTTTTTTTTTTTTTTGCGATTTTACCCTAATATCTGCCAACCCAATTAAACCTTCCCTTCAACTCAACCTCTTTCGTTGTTTCTGGACATCTTCCTGTAATTCTAACGACATGTTAAATTTATGGATTGAGATATTTGTTAGTTGCGAAGTTGTGTCCGACCCATTGCGACCCCATGGACAACATTCCTCCAGGCCTTCCTGTCCTCTACCATCTTCTGGAGTCCATTTAAGCTCACGCCTCCTGCTTCAGTGACTCCATCCAGCCACCTCCTTCTCCGTCGTCCCCTTGTTCTCTTGCCCTCCATCTTTCCCAGCATTAGGCTCTTCTCCAGGGAGTCCTTCTCATTAGGTGGCCAAAGTACTTGAGTGTCAACTTCAGGATCTGGCCTTCTAAAGAGCAGTCAGGGTTGATCTCCTCTAGGATTGACCGGTTTGATCACCTTGCAGTCCAGGGGACTCGCAGGAGTCTTCTCCAGCACCAGAGTTCAAAGGCCTCCATTCTTCGGCGCTCAGCCTTTCTTATGGTCCAACTTTCACAGCCATACATTGCAACTGGGAAAACCATGGCCTTGACTATACGCACTTTTGTTGGCAGGGTGACGTCTCTGCTGGATTGAGATATATGAACCTCTAAATATTGTTTGGCTACCAAATCTTTGACTAAACATGCAGCCTTGGACTCAGCAACATCTGGAGGATTTTAATTTCCAAACTCCTGATCTAGACTAGCCTTTCCCAACCCAGGTGAATATGGAAGAATCTTATTCTTCTAGATAGATGGACATCTTCTACAGTTTAGATCAGCTATATCTTGGTTTAGGACTGATGTGAATAGTCCTCAGAAGGACCATCTCACTGTCTCTATCTGGAAGTTGGCTGATCAAACAACATCATCACGATTCTGGGTGGACTACAGATCCAGGAAGCCTGGAGCCACTGGTAGGATTTAGTTAACCTTGGTTGATTTCCTAAAATGACATCAAAAATCCCAGCAGTGTAGGCTAAGTAAAGAAGTAAAAAATTATAAATATCCTTGGGATGAGAGAATGTCAAAATACACCCATCTGGGTATGTTCATGAAGTCTGGAGGAACTGTTCTTGAGTTAAGAAAAAAAATAAAATATCTAGACCACAGGGAATGAGGTATGGGTGTGGGGTTCCCTTGAACTTTCTCTCCAATGCACCAAGGATCCAGTCTTGGAGAAGAGAAGAAACATTCTAATCTTGGCACAGCAACTAGGTGAAACTTCAGTGAACGTTGCCTAGGTAAGCTGAGTCACCCAGTTGCTAAGCAACTTTACAGTGTTTGTCTAGCTTGCAGCATTGTGTCAAAAGCTTAATTCAGTTCTTCCAATGAAGAGAAGGAAGCGCGTGTGTGACAGGTGGCAGCAGAGATGCTGACCTACAGAAGCTTGGGAAGCAAAAAGATTTTTTTTTAAAAAAAAAAATGCTTTGTGACTTTCTCTAACAAGAAAAAATCCTTCCGTGTCTGGATTCCAATTGATGGGAAAGAAGGAGACGACACGTTAGACCAAGATGAAGTAGGACTAGGGCAAAGAAGTCGGATGGAGGAAACCGGCATCGAACGTGGCTGATTCTCTATCCAACTTCTCTGGGTTACTCTTACGGCTCATAAATCTGGTTTTCTGTCCACCGATGGCAATTTAAACCTGTCACTCTTCTCTCTGATGCTATCAGTTTTCTTCTGATCACCCCTTCTAGCTCATCGGAGGCGGCTCTTAGCAGTTACAACAGTTCATCAGTGGAATGACTTTGCCTCCAGAAGTTGTGGGTGCTCCAACACTGGGGATTTTTGAGAAGAGATTGAACAACCGTTTGTCTGAAATGGTATAGGGTCTCCTGCTTGAGCAAGGGGTTGGACTAGAAGACCTCCAAGGTCCCTTCCAACTCTGTTATTCTGTAATTCTGTCAGGGGGATTTTAAAAGCCTCCTGCGAACATCTGTCAGCTTCCCTTCAATTCTTCATGGAATACTAAGGAGCAGCAGATTGAAAATTGATGGGTTTAACTGAAGAAGCTTCTTGGTTGAGAAGTGAAACTTCTTCAAGGGGAAAAAATGGCCAGTTGCCTTTTGAAAATGCACCTTTGGGATGGCTGTTCTGATGGGGTGTGTGTGTGAGAGAGAGAGACAGAGAGAGAGACAGAGAGAGAGACAGAAACATGAATAGAGAGACAGAGACAGAGAGACAGAGAGAAAGAGAGAGAGACAGAGAGAGACAGACAGACAGACAGAGAAAGGCAGATAGACAGAGAGAGAGAGAGAGACAGAGATACAGAAACAGAGGGATAGAGACAGAGAGAGAGACAGAGAGAGAAGAGGGACAGAGAGAGAGAGAGACAGACAGAGAGAGAGACAGAGACAGAGACACAGAAACAGAGAGAGAGAGAGAGAGACAGAGACAGTGAAACAGAGAGAGAGAGAGAGAGAGAGAGACAGACAGACAGACAGACAGACAGACAGACAGACAGACAGACAGAGACAGAGACAGCGAAACAGCAGGCACATCTGGGGCAAGGATGGGAAGACTTCTTCTCCTCGTCTTTCCTGTTCATTTGGCTGGTTTGTCTCCTTTGCAGGTGCCCTGCAAAATCCTGGCCATCCTCCTTCACTTCTTCTTCTTGAGCACCTTTGCTTGGATGCTGGTGGAAGGGTTCCACCTCTACAGCATGGTGATCAAAGTCTTTGGATCCGAAGAGAACAAGCTCTTATACTACTATGGCATTGGATGGGGTAAGTCGGGCCTTGTTTTACCCTTAAAAGGGGGAAAAAAAAGAGACATTAATGATGACTTCACAGGCGTAGAAGAAGGTTCTTGCAAGCCAACCAACCATCAATTCTTTTTAGCCGCAATCCATCATCGACTGCTGAATGTCACCGCCCTGGATCGTTGTCTCCCACAAAAAATTATGTGACTCCTTCTCCTCTTCCTTCCTTCTCTTTTTTTGACCTTCATCTTCTTCAAGAAGGTGTGACGGAGGACATTTAGCTGAGAACACCCCCCCCCCAAAAGTAGGATTTGGAAGACAGCTGCAGGATCTGACAATGGTAGAAACACGGCCAGGGAGGGTTGTTTTCATTGAGTTGCGTTGAGGAGCTTCCATTCCAAGTTCCATTGAGCTCTCAACATCCCCTTGATGGCACGGGAGAAGAAGAAAAAAATATTAATCAGAATGAAAAAAAGTATCCTCCTTAAATCTTAACGGTCTGCAAAGGCACAGAACCAGAGGGATGCTTTTTCCACCGTAGAGAGGAAGCGGTTGGCTATATAAATTGGACCCATAAATAAATGAAAAAATGAAAAGACCCTCCCTCCTTTCAGATTCTAATCAGAAAATTGCCCGATTACCTCTGGGATTCAGTTGCAAGACAGCCAGATTATCCCACTTGGAAAACAACATCTCTCAGCTCTTCTGCTTCCTTCTCCATCTTTTGCTTTACCCTTTTCCTAGTAATTAACCCATGCTTAGCATCTTAGAACACTAGAAGGGCCAATATTAAATTTTTTTCTTGCATCAAACCTTCTAGCTCCCTACCTGAAGCAATGACTTATTCATTATTTAATTTGCTTGTCGGCCTGCTTGCTTGCTTCCTGGTTGGATTGCAGTTTACCGGAACTAAATCTAGGGTTGCCAGGTCTGCTTCCAAAAAATAGCGGATAAGCGGGGGGGGGGGATTAAGTAGTAAAAAAAGTAGACTGTGCAGCTTTAGATTACGTACCATTTCATCATAAAGCTTTTGAATAAAAAAAATGTCCACTATTTTGTGAAAAAAATAGTGAACATAATGTGAAAAAAGTGGACTGTCCACTCAAATAGTGGACACCTGGCAACCCTAACTAAATCCAGGCCTGTAAAAATCATTAAAGAAAGGTAGAACTTCTCCATATCTTTGCTAGCTTCTAGGCCACCATGCCATGCATTATTCTTTGGGGGTCTCAACAATGGAGAATATTTGTAGCTCAGGGTTGAAATGAGGGCTCCTTGGTGCTCTCTGGGCTTGGTGGTTTCCTTGCAGATGTTTCATGACCCAACCTAGGTAATATTATCAGTCCTTGGTGCTCTCTGAGCTTGGTTGTTTTCTTCCAGATGTTTCATTACCTAAACCAGGTAGCATCATCATTGCTGCTGATGTTACCTAGTTGGGTAATAAAACATCTGCAAGAAAATAACCAAGCTGAGAGAGCATCAAAGACCCCTCATCTCTGGGGTCTATTCCTGGGGATTCAGCTGTCCCTAATGGGAAGAATTCATATTCATCGCGATTAATTCACTTCCAACAAATTAGAAATGAGTGTTTTTTTAAATACCGACAAGTATCTGACAGACTGTTTTCCTGTTTAAACAACTGTTTGTAGAACATCTCCGTGGGGGTCTTTCTTGATTGCTTTTACTCTTAAGTGCAAGTCCTTTTTATATCACAAGTTGTACTTCTGTTCCTTGTCCTCTGGATTCAAAACAGAGTTGTGCTAAAGACATTTGCCAAAACAGAAAGAAAGAAAGAAAAAAAAATCCTATAATAATTGTAAGACAGAGGAGCAGGTATCCCGAAAGCTATTCTGAACTAATGGAGGAAACAGGAATGACTGAATCCAACCATTGCTCCCGATATTTTGGACAAGAAATGAACATTAAAGAATCATGAGGCTCGACACTAGCAGCCATTGCTCAAGAAACCTATTTGTCCCCAAATGCAATGTGAAATGGCGTATATTTATGGCTTTTTAATGATTCAGTTCATGTTTAATATACTTATGACACAGCTGGATCTCCAGCTGTGCAGAATTCCACAGATTTGGATTCGAAATCACCCTTCTGACAAAGAAGAGCTTGTTATAGAAAGATAGATAGATAGATAGATAGATAGATAGAGAGAGAGAGAGAGAGAGAGAGAGAGAGAGAGAGAGAGAGAGAGAGAGAGAGAGAGAAGATAGATAGATATAAATACTGATGATAGATAGATGAGACAGATAGAAGATAGATACAAGATAGATAGATAGATAGATAGATAGATAGATAGATAGATGATAGATAGACAGACAGACAGACAGACAGATAGACAGACAGACAGACAGACAGACAGACAGACAGACAGATAGATAGATAGATAGATAGATAGATAGATAGATAGATAGATAGATAATGATATGGATGGAGAGAAACGTTAAATGATAGATAGATAGATAGATAGATAGATAGATAGATAGATAGATAGATAGATAGATAGATAGATAGATAGATAGATAGATAGATAGATAGATAGATAGATAGATACCAAAGGGAACTAAAGATTAAGGGGAGAGGGACTTTATCTGGACTAGGTTATTTTACCAAGAACTTTTGGAAGCAGATTACATTATGTATAATAATAGCACCAGGAGCATTTTCATTGCTTCCGTTAACCATCTGTTACTCTCCCTGCTTCACACAAGTATAAAATCGAGACATTAAAGGTGGATTCCGCTTTAAGCTGAGCTACAACTTTGCGTGAGCGAAATAAGATCGTAATGCATCTGTTTCTAATCTCGCCACGGTTGGGTAAGAATTCTGAACATATCTTATTATAGCCAATCTATCGCTCTTAAACTTCCAGCCAAGCATTGAAATGAGGACACCCACCCACCGAGGCAGACATCCTAGAACAATTTCAATCTTATGACCTTAAATGGATTTAATTCTTTGCTGTCTCGAGTGATTGAGCCTTTCCAAGCAATCTGTGTATTTCAGATTAGCCAAATCCCAGTCGCATCTAACTGTGGCGATCCACCAAATCCTGTCTGTATTTTACTCAATATACCTTCTCACTTTCCATTACAACACACACAACACCCATACGCCCACACACCCTCAGCAAAGAGAAACTTGAGCAGCCGATCCTGTTACGTGCACAGAATTATTTCTCCGGTTATCCAGTTGACTAGTCTGCATTTCGCCTCCCTAAGTTTCATTATCTTACCAAGAAACCCTCTGTTTAATTTTCTTCTCCGATGCAACTCTGAGCTGATAAATAATTGAGTTAAACCCCAGGAACATCTGAGATGCACTATGGGGGGAAAAATCAGCCAGGTTACAGCTGTTCTAACACCTTGGCTGAACTCTCTGTTCGGGTCTAACAGGAATATTTATGAGCGTTTATTCTTTTATTATATTTCCCTCTCCCCCCCCCCC